AGAGAGAGAGAGAGAGAGAGAGAGAGAGAGAGAGTACAGAGCGCTCAGAGCCGCGATGCCCCCAACTCACACACAAACAACACGTCCTCTGTCCGCGCAGGTAAGAATGACAAAAACCTAACACCACCGGTGCCTTTTTGTCCCTTTGTTTCGTTTGTTTGTGTGAGGAAAGAGAAGCACATCGACACAATAGCGGTCATTTCGTGCAGGGGGAAGGGTAAGATTGACAGAAACAACAGATAGGGAGCACAGGGGTAGGACTCAAGAGAAACACACAACTATGAGAGTTTGAGTAAAGAGACGCACGCAGACACACACTAACGGCCATATGATTATGGTAATTTAGTATGAGGGACATAGTAAGACAGTTTAGTTTAGTAAGAGTATTACGGCGCTTGCAACAGCATAAGGTCATATGAACGCGCGAAACACAAGTTGGTTGCGTTCACAACAGTTCATCGTACGGCTTGGTTTTAGTCAATGACCAGACAGATAGACAGAAGCAACAGAGGAAGAGTTCAAAAGTAGGACCAACAAAAACACACAGGGTACAATAACGGCCATTTAGAGCAAGGAACGAGTAAAGTTCATTTGTTTCGGTAAGAGAAGCACGTCGGCACAACAATGGTCATTTAAATTAGAGCTGGGGACAAATATAAGAAAAACAGATAGAAACAACGTAAAGAAGGGTATACCAGTAGCACCCTCCATCCATCATCGGGAAAGAGAAAGAAGACACAGAAATACCAGACTAGATAAGTAGTAGGAGCCAAGAGAAGCACATCGACACACGGGTGGCGTAGGACAGGGGGAAGAGTAAGATAGACAGAAACACCAGAGGAAAAGAAAAGAATAACGACCTACCAATGGCGCCTTCCAACCATCGGTACAGTCATTTAGTGCAGAGAAAAGGTAAGACAGATCGAAATAAGAAAGCAGGAATACACAAGTAGGAGGACCAACCAGTGGCGTCCTCCAACAACCCGTACAGTCAGTTAATGTAGAGAAAAAGTAAAGACAAGATAGAAAGGAACAACAGAGAAGGAATAGAGAAGTAGGAGTGGTGGGACAGAATAGTGAGTGGTGGGACAGAATAGTGAGTGGCCGAATCCCCCTGACTCTAACCTCCTCCCACACAGCCTCTGATCTGAGCGCGGACAGGTAAGAATGACAAAAACCTAAGGACAACGCTGCCTTTTTGTTTCCTGCAGTCGAGGTATTTGCCTCAGGGAGACCGCAAGGGACGAGCGGGGACAGAGAAGAGACGTAGAGGAACGAAAAGGTAGGGGGGGAGACGAGGGGAGAGAAAGAGAGAGGGGGGAAAGAGGGGGAGAGAGATGGGGGAGGGAAAGAGAGAGAGAAAGAGAGAG